TATTTCAAAATATAATTCCAAATCAGTACACACAGGCAGGTATTTATACTGATATTTACCTAGGTTAACGACTATGGTGGGGAAATTGCGACCTGTAAGATGATGCGAGCAATTACAGAACATTAATACGATTAACCGACAATGGAAAAAATTGCCTCAAATTCATTCCTAAAAGATTGGTTGGGGAACCCCTGGCATTGCTCATAGGAATATAATTTCAAACATGTGTAGCCGAAACAAATACGCTGCTCTTCCATGTGCTGTCATAACGTTTATTTTTGAGTGATGGATACCCCAACTTTCCCCTATATTGCCGTATTACCACTATATTTAAATACAGTATACGCACGGTACTATACGTACAGTGGCGCCAGAAAAACCGCACCAATCATAATCGTTAGATACTTCTGAAAATGAATTCCATCAAGCGCACTAAAATGCCGAAATTTGTTTATGATTGCCTCATACAGGCTCCTTGCAATAATGTAACACGAGTTACAGCAATTGCATCATCCACATTTCACTATAACGTGTTATTTGTAACATCTAAATAGGGGCCAGTTTCCCTTAGAAATTACCCCCCTTGACAGATCGCGTTGCCTTATACAAATAATCCTCCATTATTGCATTCAGAGGATATTCCAGTGGCGTAACTGCTAAAAGAATAGCGAGGTTGCGGCCGAAGTTTTCATCTCTAAAACGTGAACGTCGAACGTCGAGCGCCGCTTACAAGATTGTGGCGCTCGACGTTCGACGTTAACGTTTTAGAGATGAAAACTTCGGCCGCAACCTCTCTAATATCCTTCGGAAATCTGCTATACAATAAAACTAACACAGCGAATAATATAAGTAATTTGTTTTCCAACGCTCGATATATTATGATTTAGCTGACGTTAGTAGCGATTATGTAATATATATATTATAAACATATATACAGATGTTTTTAAATTCTACAATTATTTCCCTGGTAAACAAATTGGCGTTTTTTTGTTAGAGACTCAAAATATTTTAAAAATAATTGAAAAGATTATATTTTCTTTTTGTCCTCATCTTTCAGTGTACGGTCCAAAGAACTGGTAACTTTAGCTGCGTACGAAATTACTTTAATAAGATTATAAGAGAGATAACACTTCCGTTATTTTTCGATTCTTTCCGCCGCGTGGGCCCTAGAGGGGACATTTTCCAGGCTTATCGTGAGTCACTCCATACAGGCCCACAATTAAGTCGGTTGGTGAGCGACAGAGACTACAGAACTACAGAATGAAACTTTCCATATATACTTTTATAATGATATATGATTGTTTTGTAGAGCTTTGGAATCGCACAGTAAAGTATTGTGTAGAGTTTATAACTAATCTGCGGGGTGTAGACAAAAGCTATTGCACGAGCTACATCTTATTTCTTCTACGTAGTGAACGAGAACATAACAGGGCGCAGTTGTCATGCTCTCGACGCCCTTCTCATGGGACAAATCCACTATACTAAGAGAGTGAGGGAAGCACGCCACCACGCCTTAGCCCACTACTTATACTCTTATGGACTTGTATTTAGCTAACCTGTGAAGAAGTAAGATAGAGCCTGGTGTAATGTTTTTTTCTACACCCCTATTCCATTGACAAACTCGCAGAATAGCATTCAAGTAAATTTGGTCGATGCTATTGTAAAAAATAGGAGAAGAATGTTAGTTCACGATGTTAACGTATCATTTAACTTCAAAACAATCGACTTAATAGGTTGATTGTATTGAAAATAGAACTGTAACATCCTTTAAATTGTCGGAGCAAGATATTTGGTGGGTTACCAATTATAGAAATGATTTAGCATAGTTTCCTGCTGTTTTGGTATGCGAAAGCAACAAAGGACATATAAAGTATACGGCTCGACTCTGATATCAGTCGAGTATCACGTATATAAGAAAGGAATTGCCTCTTCTTGACGTGTATCGTAAATGACAAAATATTTATCATTCGATAACAGGAAACAGTAAGTCATGCTACTTTGATTATTGCAGAAGATAATATCTTTCGATCCACATAAATATTGAAAAATAATCTGTTAACAAACAATAAGGGATGTTTTGATGCGTTAAAGCTAGAAGTATCTATTGTGGAGCAGGGCATAGTATTTGTCATAAACAAACAATTTATGACGCTAATTTAATAATAATAACGAATGCTATAACTAGTTTGAAATGGATTGATGGGCGGTAAAGGCTCTAGGTATTTCAATATGGGAAGAAAGACGTGTGATCATCGACAAACAAACTAATTTTTAAGACGTAAGTGTTTACTGAGAACTGGCGAACAATCGATTCATATTTACAGAAACCTCCTAAATTATTAGTGGCCTGGCACTCACTCTCGCTCCATCCTAGTTATGTCCATATTAATGGAATAATGAAATGCAAAGCAAGGGTGAAAGGATAAAGGTATGCTTCCTGGGAGGACTTTCTACGGAAAACTGGTGTTAATAGAAGAAATATTTTAAATTCATTTGCAAATTCAACGGCGCTAACTTTTGGAAATGATAAAGCATTAAAGAATTTCTTAGAAAACACGTGTAAAGAGAAACAGTAACGGTAACTAACTTATCAACGTGTGATGCAACTTTCCACGAGCTTAGTTCACGAGAAATAATTTTTTTTTAATAATTAAAATAAAACAAAACAGGAAGAAGATTATTTCGTCAGCAAAACTGAAAGTTGGTTATTGTAACTTAAGTTACGCTTTTACTTTATTTCTAAATCGTTTTAAATAATCTACCGCTGTGAAACCAAAGCTTTACTTATCATTACAAAGATGGAAAAATAAGAATTGCACACCGAATCGTAATACAAATCACGAAATCACATCACTGTAGAGTCGCAACTTTTCGTCAGTTACGGAAATAAGAGATGGCACAGAAGTCGGTTAACCGTAACATATTTTTAAGTGCGGTTAAAATTCTTTGCAGCAGCTCTTCTAACGAAGGGCAGCCATTTAATCACTCTTATCTCGGTTAACTGACTTTTGAATCGGTCTTTGTTACACGTATACATAAGTAGCATTTATAGAAAATTTCACTGTGATTGTACTTGTGTATAAATAGCCGTAGTTTCGCAACGATGAGACATTATTTCTTAAAAACTCATCCGTTGCATAAGTGAAATTATTAGCACGTATAAGTATTTGTATATGTTTATACTCTGCCCATAAACATTACATTGTAAACACCAAACTCCCAGGATTTGCGTGTAGATTCCATTATTATATATAATACACATCGTTTGGGGTCTTCCACTCGATTTAGTGACAATATCAAAAGCCAACCGGTGATACAATTGGTGTGCAAGCATTTAAAGTCTTCATAAAGTCCGAGATATGACAAGTGACACCCTCGACACTTAACCACCAAAATTTAATAGAATCGACCCTCCTAATACACAAACTACCCAGCAAAATTGCACACATTTTCATCAAAAGGGACAGGAGTTATTTACATAATTATTACACAGAAATATTCATCATTGTTTCCAATGATTGACCTTCTTCATTCATAACACTTCCATAGTTAACAAAAAAAAAAAAAGCACTTGAAGTGGTGACCTTCCCTATTATGACATCATTTCAAGATGCTTACGTAAGAAAAAAAATAAATAAATAACAACCTTACCCTTTTGACTTGAATTTGCTGGCATCTTTTTTTCTCTTTGTATCATTTTCTTAATTGGACAGTACACCAAATTTCCGGTTCTTGTACCTAATAACAACGAAGCAACTCCATGACGTAACTCCACGTTTTGATGACGAAATTCACGTTAAATTTCACGGAACTGTTAGGAATTCTTAAAATAGATAAGCCAAAATAATTAGAAAAACAACACTCAATTTTTTTTAAATATTAATTTAGAAACGGAATTTATTATATAAAAAATGCGTAACGGTCGCACTTCATATAAAGGGAATCTCTAAACGGAGGTTATTCTTTTTCTTTCTTTTAAAATGCACATAAAATAACCCGCAAACAACGGCCGTTATTCACATGTTTCACTGCATTTTTCTATGTACTGTAGCTTACTGTCTGTCGTCCGTCTGTTAGTATGTCCCTTCGTCAATCTCGAGAAGGAAGATAGATGAATGAAAATCGAGACCAGATATGTAAAGCTCCCGATTAACTATATGCAGATTTCCGGTCTGGACCGGAAGCCACGTGATTCAAATTAAAATGCGAGTAAAACTCGCAACCCGGCACTGTGACGTCATAATATACATTCGATTTTTTTTGTATTTTATAATTAAATTTTCAGATACGTATGCTAAGTTCGAAAAAATTTCTTATATATATATACTTTGCAGTCTTGCCAGAAAGTATATGTATAAATACAGGAGTATAACAAAGTACTCTTTATAACCTGTACTCGCTAATATAGTAAATATAATAATATATTCTGTAACAATTTGATACTCCGTACAGAGTGGTTTGCTATGCAAGGTTATATTCTTTATAGCAAACTAGTCTCTGTACAGTGTATAACCTTGCAATAAAGAATATAACCCTCTATAACAGACTATTTTCTGTACAGTGTATAACCTTGCAATAAAGAATATAACTCTGTATAGCAAATTATTAATAATTAATGCAAATAATTTCTGCAAAATCATCCATCTTCTAAAGTTATAAAAGGAATTTAAAGCCTGTTTTGTAGAGTTACACAAACATAATTGCGCTTGGTTTGACATTACCAAGTAATATATAATAATAATAACAATAATGATAACAAATTTATCAATAAATGTTGACATATTTTAATTTGTTTTGAAGAAAAAGAAAAATTTAATAATATAAAAGACACTTAAAAATAATTGTTAATTCTAAATTTAAATATTTATTAAATTTAATCGGATTAAAGTATTTCCGACGATATTTTTTGCAGCATTAATAAAATTATTTTGTCAGTTTAGAGCATTAAAAATAGACATTTTTATTTGTTTACGATTGATTCTGTGAAGTTTAGGCCTACTTCCAACCCAGCTAAGAAAGGATTTATACATTTAATTACATTGCCTGTTAGCGAAGAGATTAAAAGGAGAACAATTAAAGATAATCTAGGAAACGTGTTACGTATTTTTCTTCTTAATAATTATGATTAATCCGTAATAAATGTAATTAAAAATTGTTTTAACGTTAAATTTCTGTGACGTTCTGGCAAGTTTAATCCATCCTGTTAAGTTATTTTAATTAAAATTAACGGAAAAAAAGAGAGTGAGAGAATTTTTACCTTATCTGGCAGTTTAAATTTAAATTTTTCTTGTGAGAAATAACGGCCGAAGAAATTTAAACCCGTAAATAAACCCGATTGGTCGTATGTCAGTTTCTCAGATTTGAATAATCCGTCGCCATTGGTTTATCATTTATTCCTTATTTACGCCTCTTTTTCTTTTTGTTCTAAAGCAACTGAAAAATAGAACTATTTTATTTATAACATTTTTAAATATAAAAATTGATTTCTATATTTAATTAAATACCGTCCCACACGACCGATGTTAGGCGCAAAACGTTTACGCAGCTTTTCTTACTGAGCAACGTGATGTCACAGATGTTTACCACGTGAGAATGTCAACGTTTATAAAGCTAAATAACATCATCTTCGGATAGACAAACAGAAAACAACTTTCGAACTAAAAATGCTTTTCGTCCTCTTATTCTTCTGCCTGAATCTATCGACTGCTGTTCCTCTAGCATTGGGTAAATGTTTAATTTTAGTAGAATATATCTTAATTATAAATTAGTAGTAGTTTTAATGTAATTAGTTATTTTAAAGTTACTACACTGGGTGTTACGTAATACTAATATATTATGTTGGGTATATGGAATCGGAGCCTTATTTTCCTGAAAGCTAAACAAGTTGCAGCTTAGGGCCTACTGTATATTGTAAATTAGGGCCACAGTAAGTGTAAGTAAAGCCCTGTTTGGAAGTATTAATTTGGTGTCGTGGGCGAAATGCCTGTTTAGATGTTATGCACGTGAAGATACCCGGAAAACTCCACGTGGTAGATGAGACACGAACCCACGACCACCGTTCTGTGATTCTATCCACTCGACCATTAATTTTAAATAAGTCATTTAGCGTAAATGTATAGTTTTACACGATGTATTGTCATTTTAATAAATAATGTCATTCTCTATTATAGGAAGACGTTCGAAATCTCTGTTAGACGCATCGAATTTCCTTCAATTACCGAAAACGTCCAAGGAATATTATCCCGAAAAATCGAGAGAAAGCCAGAAAACTTCGAAAGAATATAGGAATACAAAGGAACATTTACGAATTCTAGAAAAGAGAGAGTTTAAGGATGATCTGAACACGTCTACCGAACTTATGGATCCCTATTTTGGAATTCTAGCACTTAGCAATCTCCACCAGTTTTTCAGCAACTTAAGGGGAGAATTTGAAGATTCATCTAGAATAGTAAAACAGGACGACGACAAAAGCAATTATCAGTATCACACGGACAAGAGTTACACCATTTTCACAGGCACCGACAATAATAAATATAATCCGGGATGGATGATGTTGGGGCTTGGAAAATAAATCTTTGATGCTTCCCTTTATTTATTTATTTATTTAAATCAATTTATTTCCTTTACTAAAATAGTTTCAATTTCTGTAACATTAATTATTGAAGTTGAAATGTTAAGTAAATTCATTTTTAAATTATCAATAGGATGATCTCATAATGACATAGGAGTCAGCTTTCTGAATAATGATACAGGTAAATGATTATACATAATTACCAAACTGGAGTGATTATATATATCATGTTACATTATTTATTCAATAAAAGTTTGATTTTAAACTTTGATTTATTCTCACTTAATTTTACTTTGTTCCTAATTTTCTGTTTGATGAGATATAGAGAGAAAAAGCTCATTTTTACGCTAATTTTAGTGAATAAACTTCCATATTTTTCATCACATTAGTTAATAAGGAGCTTGAAGTAACGTATACATTACAATTAATCAACTTTAATAATTGAATTTCCTAACAGAACAACTCATGTTTCCTGTAGCAAAGATAATTGGTTATGTAATATCCAATTAATAAAACTAAAACAATAAATGTCATTTCAGATTCAAAAGATTTGTCTATTAAAAATTCTCCATGACGCTAACTCTTCTCTAATGTAAACAATAGACAAATCTTTTGAATCAAAAAATAATTACATTTATTGATAATATATATATATAAGAATATAGTTGCTACAAAGAACTTTCATTATAAACATTTTAAATTGATTTATCAATAAAACTTCTTTTTATGAAAGCAATAATTTAATTATTTTCTTCTCTGAAATAAAACCATATACATCTCGAACATGAAAGATTTCCAACAGCAACATTAAATAAAAAGAAACGTATGCATAATATATATATTGCTTAATTTTAAGTAAATTAACATATTAACATGATCACAATGAATTTCGAAATGGTAACAGAATACTTACAGGAATTCTAGAAAGAAATTTTTACAGACTCGACATTAGGGAATAGATTAGAACGAAATATCGATGCGGATTTTCTCTCCTTCGGCATTTAAAATATGCCGCGGGATGCTACCGTAGCATCGTTGGGTGTTTATGTAGTAACAGAGTTGATATGTTTCCAATAAGTGCAAAAAATCTGAAAAATATTACTACGTAGAATGTACAAAAAATTTATTTACAAGACTTAATATTTATAAATTTCTCTTTTCTTTTTTAATTATAGGTTAAAACCTATCCGAAATATGAAAAACAAGAAGTACAAATACCAACTTATATTGTGGGTTTTAGCTGATATACTTTCAGAACCATTTTCATGAGAGGATACATATTATATATATATATATTTATACCAGTATATATTTTTTAAAAACCTAAATTATGATGTGCATGTTCATCATTTACATTCATTATTTGCAGTTAAATGGCCAACACCATTAAAATGAAATACAGTTTTGGGCCATTAATTTTCAAAAGAAACAACTTATGTAATCATTGAAATTTATAAAAATTTTTTATTCCTTATTTTATTTAAATAAACTTTAGAAATTTTAATGATGCTAACTGGTGTTTCCATTTAAAATGTACGGCTGGGGCGGAACCAATAGATCGGCGTATTCGTGAAGAGCTTCCTGAAGGGAACGACAAACTTGTACCGACGTCGACGTTGTGCAATCCACCAAATGGGGATAAAGTGCTATCAGTTGTTTCCAAACACTCCATTCGACTAAAATAAAAGTGACTTCGCTTAATTATTCAATTACTTTAAGTTAAAAAATTGAATTGTTAAGAAATAATTAATTAAATCATACCATTTTCACGCGGAGCTTTCTTCAGGGAGGCTGTAAGAGTGGCCACGGCTTTTAAAACAAATGAGATTTCTGCCATGCGATGCCTAAAAATTGACATGTAATATTAATTCAATAATTAATTTCCAGTCCCAAATTTTCAATCTACAGTTTTATAAACTATTAAATTAGGAAGTCACATTTAAGTTACTTCAAATTATCCACATGACAATTTTTTAAATTATCACCTCGGTAAAGGGCATTTTCCACTTAATCTCTCGTCTTCTGCATATTTGTGAATAACTTCTTGAAATCTATGTAAGAGAGATGCCACTGCTAATTTGTTAACTACGCCTTTTTTGTTCTCCAAATCGATGGAACTGCTGTCGGTAATGTAAGAATCGCCCAGAAACGAAAATTGCAAGAGTGTTTCAAAACACGATTTTGCAAATTCCTCTCTCAGTCTTCGACTTGATTCGGTATCTAAAATTAAGCAAATGATTTTAAGATTTATTATTTTGTATATTAAAACAACTTACAGTTTAGATGAAAAATCTTATCAGTATTTTCTTTGATAATTTGTATTGTTTTACGTACTTTAAGATATTGTATTGTATGAAATTGAATGTACAAGGAAGTTTGTACAAAATGTTATCTACAGTAAAATAATAGTTTCAAAATGCAATCATTATTCAAAATTTTATGTAATTAAAAGTGTAAACACTTTTTAAGTCAAAAAAGCTTGCAGTCAATGCCATAATTCTGCAGATTTTCTAGTTTCAAATCTAATTTTAAGAAAAAATTATGACCACTAAGATATTTTGGAATTTTACTTTTATAATTAAAAATCAAATTAATTACAATTTTTCTTTTGTTTCATAGTTACTAGTTCAGAAATAGCTTGAAAATATAATTTAAAAATATGTCACATTTAAATGAAAATAATCATAAATTTATAGTAATATTTTTTGCAGCATCTGTAGAATGTTAAGCATGCAAACAGTGAATAAATTCTGTCTTTTATTGTCATCAAGATGTAAAAATGAAAGCCAATTACTATATATGACCAAATCAAAAGCAAAAGTACATCAAATTATACTGTAACTTGATATAATTTTACTTTTGATAAAATGTTCGAGTGTAGGACCTACAAATTAAACAATATTACTTTAATTATCATCTAAATTTACATATAATTCAGTTAGTAATACAGTAATTTCTTCCAATATTCTGTTATAGTTTCAGATTATACTTTTAAAAGTACTGTAAATTTAACGTAGAGTTTAAACTAGACTGCTTACCAACTGGCGTATTACTCGTCGCAGAATGAATCGATCCTCGATTTAATAACGTTACGAGAGAAACAACAAATTCCTTCGGAACTTGATTGGCATAAGGTAAAATACATTCTCTTATCATCTGAATAACCTATTAAATGTATACATTATTAAATTAAAATATAATAATTACATATATTATATCAATTCAAAAGTAAAATTGCAATAACAGAATATATATATATATATATATCTGTTGTTTTTAAAATTATAATATCCCGAGAAAATACTCCAGGTGATATTTCTAAAAATAAAAAAATATGATAAAAATCTATATATAAATTTATCTAAGGTTGACGTCCAAACTGAATATAAATCATTATATAACACGTACTTTACAGTCCAGAGCTTCATCGCATTGCTGATCTTCTAGACTCTGCGTCGGAGGAGAAGTACTATAAATAAGGGATTATTATTAAGTATGAAAAACTGTGTTATTAAAAATGTAATGATTACAAAATATTATTAGCAATAATCGTATACCTATTAGAAAATAAAAAATCTTCAATAGCAGAAGCTAGATCAGTCCACATTCCCTGAAATTGGGTTGCTGAAAGATAAATTTATTTTATTCTTAAATTTAGATGATAAATCATTTTATTTCTGTTAGGTGTATTATTAAGTTTTATATAACAGGAGGAATTTTATATGAAGATATTTATTAAAAATAAAACTAATAAAAGTACAGTTTAAAATAGAAAAGGAAATGAAACTGAAATCAGCAGATAAACAAGCAAAACCATAACCGAAACTGGACTAATTATTATTCAACTATATTCTGGCTTAATCAACTTATTGTCAAGGCTGGGGAATTTACGAAAAAATAATACAAACCGAAACCAATACTTTAATTTGATGAAATCTGTTAAATCAGAAAAGCAATTTAATATTATAATAATATTTTTTTAAATCTCAAGCTTTACTGAATATAAAAATATTTTGATATTATTACCACCAAAATAAATTTATTCCCCTTTTCATACAAAACACATCAAAATAAGAATTGAGGAGTAAATGATACACGTTATATGTAACACTGAAGTCGTATTGATTAAAAAAAATAATCGATCCAAATCATTTGATAAAATAGAGCTAATTATTTTACTCAAATATTTCTGATTAAGAAATAGTACAGATATGATCATGTGATTCTGAATTATTTTTGCAGATTAAATCATAATTCTTTTTTAAGACATGCAATCACTTCAAATTTAAGATGAATTACTTTTCAAAATGGAATTGAAGTATTAGAGACTTAATTAACGTTTTTACTCTTTAATAATGTACTTAAAATGCTATTATGCAGATACTTCTGAAGAATGATAGAGCATCTCAGACTTAAGATACCATTTTCAGTTCGGAAACGTAAAAAAGGTGTGCACGCATCACATATATATGCATATTAGAATCATCAGACATCTTATATTTCAAAGGATAAACCACCCTTGTCCTTTACTGAAATGAGAAAGGACTCAATTTTCCTTCATCTTCATTATTCAAAGGCTATGCTTTGTAATGACAGTGGATATTTTTGCACAAGCCATGCCTGTCCTCATATATCAATCCATACTCTTTCCCAGAGAAGGGCTGTCCATAAGTTACATAACATAGATACGGGTAGGCGAGTGGGTATGCAAATAATCATTACAATGTGCCACGGGGGTGTTTACAAAAATGTTACACAATGTTAAGGTCTTTAAATCAACCATTGTTGTTTGTTAAATATGTAGGAATTAAGCTACTTTTACACCAAGTGGTGACATCAGATCAAATTTGAAGCCACCAAGGAGCCTTAATTATTTCCAGAGATATTGCTTTGTATGTTATACATGTAATTAATAAAACAATGTAGCATTCAGTGTTCAGTGCCACATATTATTCCTTAGTATACTTAAGAGGTTGATTGAGGATGTGTGTAATGTATCAATATTTTGGGGGTGGGTATGTGTGACAGCATTACAGAGCATGACGAGCGGGATAGTAGTTGGATAGTATAAAAATAGTATTACATAATTTATGGATGACCCTGAAAGCAACGCTTTACCATTAAATATTTTAAATTCCTGATTAAAATAAGATTTACAAATATTTATAGTCAATATGAAAACTAATTTTTAAATCAAAATCTAAAAAAATACAAATGGAGTATTTAGTTATTAATTAGAAAAAATCATTAGTATTAATTATTTTTAAGTGTTCTTTAATCCACTCACAGAAATATAGCAATCTGAATATTCCTGTGAGTTAGAGAACACTGCGCACCGACTCTGTGCCTGAATCCATTGCTGAGTTTGGACCCAAACTCCACATGTGTTATTCTCTAACTCCGCCCAATATTTATTTAAAACTGGCCACAAGAGCATCTTCTCATCAATTCTGTGGTCTGTATTGCCCTCTATCTAACTAAATTCTATGCTATCAATCTAGAGAGTAGATGAAAATTTATTTTTTCTTGGGTCCAGACAAAACTTAGAACCAGTGGTACTTTCTACCCTACCCTATAAATTAATGTCATTTTTTCTAACAGAAAATATAATCTTTAAGACTGCTTTTTATTAACAAAGCATTTTATAGAGTTCAGGGGTAGAATGACATTAGTATAGGTCACTCTACCCTGGACTACCATACAAATTCTCAACAATGCCGTATAAATATACATATTTTAAAATTATCGTATTAAAGATATAATAATCCAAACTAGCAATTTAAAACAAACGTTACTTGAAATTGTTTAATTATGCTGGTGCAATTATAAAATTAAAACATCCGTAAATCAGTACAAATAACACGTAAGATTTAAAATCAATTATTGCCGTGTTTTGTTTTATATGAAGTAACTATTGTGTATAGAAGGATATCTTCTCTCTTCCTTAATGAAATCTCTTCCCAGAAAACACGCAACACAAATTCTTCTAATAGATAATTGTAATTACTATTAAATAGTGTCTAAAAATTATAATTAGACTGATTTAATACACAATCTAAATACTATTCTATAGTTTTTTTATTCTTAGATTAAAAAAAAATTCAAAGTTTCTTTACAATCTACTACACTTACAGTGCTGTCGAGCAACCGGTAAGCCAACGTGCAACACTTTTAACAGTGAATTAACGGCAAGTTTCCACGTAAATTGAGAGGGACAGGAATATTTCATGCCCAACGGAACTTTCAGCATCTGAAAAGATAAAATTAAAATTTACTTTAAAAACCGATTTTGTTCCTTCTTTCTAAATTACAACATTAAATTCTAATAATCAGAACTTAACGAGAGTTATCTTAATTACTTCGTTCGCAAAGGTAAAAATTTGGAAAGTAAAATATAATATGATAGAAATATAATATTTTAATAAGTGATCATCGAATAAGTATTAAATGAATCACAGTAAAATATCTCCATAATCCTAATTCTAAATAATGTTAAAATGGGGAAGAAATAATGTAGTTTTAATATTCATTAACAACAAATGAAATTCTGACAATTATATACAAAATTTTCTGTTTTATACTTTAATATTAAATTTATAATTAAT